ACACACACACACACACACACACACACACACACACACACACACACACTAAATAATAAAAAGTAGAGGGAAAGAGAGAAAAAATAAGAATCACCTAACAGTGTTGGGGCCCTGGTGGCAGCTGTGTTAGGTTCTTGGGGTCCCTGGCTGGTTGGCTTTGGGTTTCAAGAGCTATGTGCTTTGTCACCAGCAGGGATGGGATGGTGAGGCAGCACATAATGGGATGATGCTCAGCCCCAAGGCCTGGCCCACTGCTACTCAAGCCTCATGAATTCCTTTCCCTAAATGGACACAGCGCATGGACAGGCTTTGGCAAGCTCTCGGGAAGACATGGAGCTTCACATGTCCTGAAGTGACAGATCTTCGCAATGGTTGCTGGGATTAGAGTCAGGTGCCTTGGAACCCTGCAGAGACCCTCAGAAGACCAGAATGAAATCCAAGCACCCTAGTGGAGGAGCTGCAGAAGACATGAGCTAATAAAGACCCCGCTCCATTATGCTGGGGGTGAAGTGGTCAGCAAGCGCATCCTCTGTGCCAGGGGGCTTATGTCACAGGACGGGTGTAGACCCGGAAGGAAGGTGGTGGTTAGGACAGGAGGGGAGGGGAGGGAGGTGTAAGCTGGGTTTTCAAGGGTGAGCGAGAGTTGTCCAGGCAGGTGAAGAGACTGGGAAAGGGCATCGGACTATCGATACCGTGTGTGGGGTGTGTATGTAATGTATGTGCGTGCTGTGTAGTGGATGTGTGTATGTGCGTGTTGACATGTGTGAGGCTGGCACTGGGCACCTTACTCTTGTCACCCCTCACTTCACTTGCAGAGGCGGGGACTCTTGCCGAGTTCGAGGCTCAATGACTTCGCTAGTGCCCAGCCGGCTAGCCCTTGTTCCCGCCTGCACCCCTGGAGAACTGGGGTTACAGGCAGGCCACCACACTTGCGCCCAGCTTCTAGGTAGGTGCTGGGGATCAGAAGTCTGCTCCTTATGTGTGCACGGCAGGTGTTGTGCGGACTGAGGCGTCCTCCCCAGCCCCTCTCTACCCCTCTTAACTGTAGCCGTTAGTGCAGACCCGATGGCTGAAGAGCGAGACACCCTGGATTCTATCCTGTCCTGCCTACTTACTAAGTTTATGCCCATCGTTAACTTACCACTCTCTGTTTATATGCAAAAGAAAAAAAAAAGATTTATTCTGTTTTTATTGTGTGTGTGTGTGTGTGTGTGTGTGTTGTATATGTCATTAGTGTGTGGATGCCTAATGAAATCAGGAGGTTACTGGATCCCCCGGAGCTGGAGTTACAGGTGGTTGTGAGCTGCCTGATGAGGCAGCTGGGAACAGAGCATGCGCCCTCTGCAAGAGCAAGAGCGCCAGAAGCATCACACAAGTGCTGAGCCATCTATCCAGCCCCAGAAGCTGTTTGTTTTAAAGACCTAAATGAGGTAATATATGTAAAGTGTCCCAACCAGCCTGTTTGCAGGCATCTGTGGGCAAAACACCCAGCAAACGTAGAGCTCATTACAAACATCTTTTACATGGTCACGTCCCATTCCTACAACGGATCATGGCAGCTAGTATTTACTGAGCTCCAGAGCTCAGTTGGTCATGTGTTTGCAGAGCATACACACAGCTCTGAGCTTGATCCCCAGCACCTCATTAACTGGGCAGGAGGATCAGAAGTTTAGGTCATTCTTAGCTACGTAGAGAGTCTGAGGCCAGCCTGGGCTACATGAGCCCCTGACCAAAACCAAAAAGTTCTGTACACAGAGCATCATGGCCATTGTTCTCTCCGTCAAAGGCGGACAAACCTGACTTGGTCACACCCAGCCAGGAGGCTCAGATAGTCTGTATTTGTCTAAAGAAGTTTGGCCTGATCAGAGAGGCTGTGATTAGCCTCGGGACACACAGCACGGGCGGGGGGATGGGGTGGAGAGGATTTCTTTATGGCAGAGGTCATTGGGGGTGCCTCAGTGTTGAGAACCGGGTAGCTGCGGACTTGGGGGCACAGAACACCTGCGGAGGCCTCTCACCTCCACCCCCGCCCTCCCCCAGTTCAGAAGAGATGAAGGCAGGGCTGAGTCGAATCCTCAGGAGTTCGAAGGGTACAGCGGAACCTTGGCCTGCAGACGGGCCATATCCGGATTTTCCTCTTGAGTCCCCTCCTCCCCCCCCCACCCGCGGCTTCCGCCAAAGGTCCTGGTAGAAATTTCCAGCCTCTCCCGGGATGGGGGTTTTTCCATCGGGGTGCGTCTTGGGCCGCAGCCTCGGAGGGGAGGGCAAGGCCTGCCTCCTCCGGACTCCCAGCTTGTGCTGGCCCCAGGTCGCCCTGGGCCTTGAGTCCTGGGGACTCGCTGACCGGCCGGGGTCACAAGGCTCGGGACGTCCTGGCAAACAGGAAGTGAGACAAAGGCGACCGCTTATCAGGCTGCCCCGCATTCCTTTCAGGTGATGCCTGTGGGCCTGGGGGCAGCCAGGGCCCCACGAGGACCTCGGGGGCTCCCTTCTCCGGCCCTTCGGACAGTCCCATGCACGTTACTGGCATCAGCATTCGCAGGGACCCACAGCTAGCCCTCAGAGGGAAGAGGAGGTGAAAGAACAGACTAGAAGGTTAACAGGGTTTGGCGGTGCTCGACGCTGATTTCAGTGTTTGGGAGGCGGAGGCAGGAGGATCTATTCAAGGTCATCATAAGCTAAGTAGACAGTTCGAGGACTGCCTGGGCAACTTGCTACATGCAACCCTACCAACTGAAGAACAAGGACCCAACTCATGATCCAGGCCCAGTCTCCCTCTAGCCCGTATTGTCTAGGGGCTTCTAGTGCAGACACACAGAGAAGCAAATACTAGGTGAAAGGGCAGACGGAGGAGAGCTCCCTTGCTGGGAGCCTGTGGGCGGGGCATCGCTGGGAGCCTGTGGGCGGGGCGTCCCTGGCTTCCCCTGGCAGGGCCTTACAAATCAGTCATCCTCTGCAGGACCTAGCTTGGGGGGCAGAGGTGAATGCAGCAGAGGGCGCCCGCACTGGGGGCCAGAAATGCTTGTAGTCTGGGTATGTGCTCAGGGTTTGAGGAGCAGAGAGCACTTGGGGCTGTCCAGAGCGGCCTTGAACTTGCTCTGCAGCCTCCTGCATCCACCAAGCGCTGTGATTGTAGGTGTGCGGCACCCAGGCACAGGGTAGGAGGCTAGTTAGATCCCCTGGGGCCTTGAAATCAGGCCGGGGCCTGGGATGGGACAACAGCCCTGACTATAGGCCACCTTGACAGAAAGGGAAGGAAAGGGGAATGGATGGGAGGGGGGAGGAAGGGAGGAGAGGGAAAGGGAGGGAAGAGAGGGTTGCCTGTCACTAGCTGAGCTAACTGGAACCTGGGGAGAGGGCTGCCTGGCAGGACCAGCTTGTCTCAGGAGTGAAAGAGGAGGGGCCTGCTTCCCTGCTTGCTGAAGTAGCTCTGTTAACTGGGGGGTCTGGGCCACACTCTCCCCTCTTGTCTACACAGAGCTGACTGTGCATCTGAAAGGCCCTTCCCATACTGGGGCAGTTATTCTCCAGAGGTCAGAGGCCATGTCACCCCATGTCCCTCCTGCAAGTGGCTGGGCACTGATAACTGCTACTGAAAGGACGGTAAGATTTCTTATTTACCCACCCCTGCCTGCCACCCAGTGATATGCCATCTTTCGCTTCGCGTCCCTTCCCTTCCCCTTACTGTCAGGGTCTCACGTACTCCGAGGCTGTCCTCAACTTTGCTACCTAACCCAACGGTAACCTGGAACTCAGATCCTCCTGCCTCCACCTCCCGAGTGCTGGGATTACAAGCTTGTGCCCTCATTCCCAACTTCCAGGCAGTTCTTTTGTTGTCTAGCCATGGACCACCCCAGCTCTGACGTGACTTTCTCACCTTGAGGAGCCCAAGACACTGTAAATATCAATACTTTGGTTTTATTTTAAAACAGCGAAAAGAAAAATAAATATCTTTTAAAGAATAAAGAAAAACAGGACTGGGGATGGAAAGGTACAGCAGGAATGGAGGCCAGGAAGATGGGCAGAGTCAACCGAAAAGAACAAGAGGATGGGAATGATGGGGTTGGGCAGGAGAATGGAAACTGGGGTGTTTTAGCTCCTGTGGTCTTGGGCTGGGGGACCAGGGTCCTGGTATCTCTGCTCCCTGCCGTTTCGTTTCCAAGCCAGGCCCTTTCCAGTTCCCGCTGTGATGTCTAGGGGCTCCACCAGCCCCACGTGTCTATGGCTCGAAGTTGGGGTGCTGCGTTAGCGGGTCTGTGTGTGTGTGAGGATTAGCACCTGCTCCCCCGACTGCACCCGAGGCTTCATCGGGATGGCCCCCCGAGGCCTCTTCTGTGGCTGCGGATCCTGCCTAGCCTAGCAGCTGCGGCTCAGTGGTGCCCCATGTCCTCCATCCCCACTCGGCCCCAGACACCCAGCACGAAGCTCTCGATGTCACACTCATTGGTACCACGCACGATTCGGAAGTGGCCCCTCTCGCCCCACCATGGGCCCCACGAGTTGGCAGCAGTCTGGGAGTGAAGAGAAGAGAGACTCTAAGGCAGGGGCTGGGCGAGGGCCTGAGAGGGCAGGGGACACGGGACTGGCACCAGGGACTCACCCAGTACTTGATGGTCCTTCCATCTGGCAGCGTCTCTTCTCCCCATCTGGTGGCAAAACAAGAGGGAGATGCTGTTGCTTGCACCAGGTCTCGGCTCAGGTATACAGCGCCTCTAACCCTCCCCTGCCTCTGTCACTCAGGAAGATGGCAGACAAGTTAGGACAAGTGCTGAATAGCCCTGCGGGTTGTTTGTTTGTTTGTTTGTTTGTTGTTTTTTGAAAACAAGGTCTCATGTAACCCAGATTGGCTTCACAGTCGCTGTGGATACAAAGACGGCCTTTTAACCCCTTTAACTTCTGATCCTTCTGTCTCCAACCCAGTGCTGAGATCTCAGGCATGCTTCCCGCCTCCTGGCTTAACTCTCGAATTCTCGTCTCTGTTCCACTGTTCCCAGACACCCTTCAAAGCTCCACGCACCCCTTGAAGCGGCCCCTCCTCCCTGTGTCTGTTTCCTCTTTGGCAATGGTTTGAGGGAGGAGCTGCCTCAACTTGGCAGAGAACACAAAGATTTTTCAAAGACTTTTCAGTGTAAACCCTGCTGCCCTTAGTGCCATGTGCCCCCAGAAAACTCACCCTGTGATCTTGACCGAGTGGGTCCCATGTCGGCGGTACTGCTCCGGCCTCCCCTGGCTGACAGGTGTGTGGCTGTAGATGCCACTCTGGTATAAGAAGAAGTCCTCATGCACCTCCATGAGTGCTGTGGGCAGAGGAAGAAACAGGGGTTCAACCTGTTAGTCTGAGCCTCCAGACTCGGGGACTCATGTTAGATACTGAATTGTCCAGAGTCTTCCTGCAAGAAAGGGGAGGGAGAATGGACCCTCCACTCCTGTTCCAGCTGCACCTGGTACCTAAAGCTGTAGAGACCCCTTGCACCCAACCTCCAGCAGGAAGTTTCTGGAACCAGGGAAAGGCAAGGAATAGTTAGTTACCTTGAACAGGGCCGTTCTCCATCAGCTCCTTCATGATCTCCTTCTCCTGGGAAGGTAAATCCATCAAGGTAAGATTTAGCCGACCAACCTCCCCCCCCCAACTCTTTCTTCGGCTCCCCTCCCATGTTCAGGCTTACATCAGAGCCCAGGCGGTAGGCGGGCGTGACCTGGTAGATGTCATTGGAATCAACCTGACCATTGGGGCATCGGGAAGTGGCCTGGCGCTTGCCCCGTCCCATGGGGCGGCTGTGCATCATACATCGAGGGGCAGGGCCGGCCTCGTTCTGCTCACGGCCCGAGAATGGGTAACAGTTGTCAGACACCACCCTAGAGAAGAGAGCAAGGGCCGGGTCATCATGCTGTGGTACCACAAAGCTGGGGCTCTACAGGGTGCCTGGTCTTCCCCCGGCCCACAACCCCTGTCGCATACCCTCGGCGCCGCAGGAACCACCAAGCACCATCGAGACGCCCACCTCTGCAGCCCTTCTGGTGGTGGGTGTCACAGGACAGAAGGTTCTGCGGTGACAGGATGGGTGTCATGTGTCCCAGAGAATGAATGGCGACCCGGTCAGATGCAACAGCTAGTGGGGAAGGCAGAAAGGGCTGTCAGAGGCTAGCTGTGGCCCTCCTTTCTGGTGCCAGCTCCTGCCCGTGGACATACCTGCTGTGGAGAAAGCCCAGGAGCCTGCACAGTTGCCCTGGTCCAGTGGCTCGTGGATCAGGTTGGGCCACTTCTCAGAAGCCTCAAAGGCAGTGGGTAGCACTTCCCCTTGGCCCAGCACCATCTGTAAAACAATAGTGATGCCGCTTGCTTCCTAGCATAGCCCAGCTGCCCCACCAGCCCAGGCTTTGGAGGCACGGTGAGAGCCCAGAGCCTCTGGCAGTCTGATCTGGAGCTGTCCTGCTTCTGGGGTTGGAGGAGTGGGGTGCCGGTTACTTCTGACTTGGACTTGAGTAAATGAACCACCATTCAGAGTCCCTCCAAAGGTCACTCAGGGGTAGTGAGCCACTGAGGCCGAAGCAGGGAAGCCCAAGCCAGGGCCACCAGCTTCCAACTCTCCCTTCCTGCCACTTTTCTCTGTACCTTCTGATGGCCACACCCTCCTTCCTGCCATGGTGGTGGCCTCCAAGCCCCGAAGGACAGGGGCGGGAAGATGTAAGGTCCCGTGACCAGGCAGGCCGCCAAGACAAACAGCAGAAAATAGCAAGCAGCCCCAGGGAGAAAGGCAGGGCCAAGGGGCTGGTCACCCTGGCCTTGAGCAGAAGTCCCCTGGCCTCTCCCTGTCTGCTTTGATGGACAGCACAAGCCCCGCCCAGGCCCGCTGCATGGAGCCTTAACCTGCTCCTACTCCCCCCTTGACTGACAGGGTCTGGTGGAAAAACAGAAGACCCTCCTCCCTAGGGGCTTCACTGAGTCGGCATTTTTTCCGAGAATTGTTGCTTTCTGGCCAGAGCTGGGAGAGTGCCTGTCCCTTTTTTCCTAAAATACCAAGGTGACCCTCGGGCCCCCTTGGGTCTTGACCCAGCTGTACTGGGACCAACAGCATTTTTCCCAGGCTTAGAAGGCAGAAGAGGCTGCTGCCGGCACTGGAAGATTTAGAAGTCAAGCACTGCCAGAGAAAGCAGTACAGAGAAAGATATGCAGGGCCCCACAACCAGGGAATCGGACCTTGGCAGAGCAAGGAGAGGGACCTCATCCCTAAAGTGCTAAGCCATCGGGAGATAGATGGTAGGGATGTGGGCGAGGACGGACTTACATAAATCTCATTCATATTCATGACGGAGGAAGATGGACGGATTGTGCCCAAGCGGTAGCGAATGCCCTCATCCAGGGTCATGCCCCAGAAGGCACTATGGTTCCCAGCCCGCCACCTGGAGGAGAGAACATGAAGAGAAGTCACAGACCTGTCAAGGTCAGGAGCCCTTGAGCTGTGCATGATGGCTAAGAGGGGGAGGGAAATAAAATTCCAGTGTGTGTGCCTAGCACAGTGACCATGTCTGATGATTATATATGTGGACATGTATGTATACTCCTGTGCCCACCAACGCCCAGGGCCTCTCACCCGTAGTTGCCTTGGTTGATGGCATTAATCATGTCTGGGTCCACTAGACATGGCTCCTGGTCACACTCCCACTGCCCTTTCTCCTGGCAGGTGCTGGCAAGGAAGAGGAAAGAAAGCATGAGTCGGGGCTGGGAGCCCTGTGGAGCCTCGGCGATCCACACGGGCCTGGGATTCTGCACTAGCAACTACAGCCGAGCCTCTGAATGGTCCCACCCAGCCTCTTGGCTTTGTAACCCAAGTTAACAATTCTTAAGTGCACCTCTTCCACTGCCCAGGACTTCATTGCTCCCCAACGTCACCAGAGTTGGGGGGGAATACCCACAGCTTCTGCTTAATGTGTGTCAAAATGAGTTCCAGATCTTGTAACTTCCTGCAGCTCAGACTCAAAGCAGAGTCACCTTTGACCCTTCACATGCCGATCCAGTCACACCTTAAAACACACTCAGGATCAGACTGTGCCTCATTCACTCACGGCTACCTCTGTCCAGCCTCCTTTCACCTGACCCCTGCTGCCATCTCCTTGTTCTGACCTCCACTCTATGCCACCCCCACGTCCCTGAAGTACATTTTTAAATTGGTGGCCACAGCCATCCTGCTAAGTCTAAGTCAAGCCAAGCAGGGCACAGTGACGCACACCTGTTTTCCCAATACTGGGGGAGGCAGAGGCAGGCGGATCTCTGTGAGTTCGAGGCCAGCCTGGTCTACAAAGAGAGTCCAGGAAAACCAATGCTACATACAGAGAAACCCTGTCTCAAAAAATCAAAAAAAAAAAAAAAGAAGGAAGAAAGGGGGGAGGGAGGAAGAGCTAAAGTCCCTCACAGCAACAAGCCATATGTAATCTGTTCTACCATCCTGTCTGATCCCCTACTCCTCCCAGGCCTAGACTCCAGCCATAGTGGTCATTCATACCCGCCAAACTCCTGCCCAAGGCCTTTGAGCTGCTCTTCCAATCACATCATTCATGGGCCCCTCATTCAAGCAAGCATCACCCCCCAGAAAAAGCCTTCTCTGGCTGTCTTATCTTAAAACTCGGTGGCCTTCATGCTCTCTGCCCCACTTCTCTGCCTTCTGGTGTCCTTAGCCACCAATGCCTGGTGTCCTCCTGGTGTTTATATAGCTTTCCTTTTTCCTTTTTTTTTTTTTTGTTTTCTGACAGCACCTCTCATGTAGCTGAAGCTGGCCTTGAACTCACTTGGTAGCCGAAGAACGGTCTTGAAGTTATGATCCTGCTGCCCCTGCCCCACCACGCCAGGTTTTATATGGTGCTGAGGAACCTGAGCTTTCTTACCTGGCGGGCCGCATCCCCAGCCCACATGCCCATTACCTCCTAGTCTCTTAGGAAGCTTGCAGGGCTTAGGGGAAAACACCTGGTGTGCGGTGAGCATCCAGTGAACATTTGTTTTTATTGTTCTTCTGACTGAACCAAGGCCTTATGGCTGTCAAGCAAATGCTCTTCCCTGGGCCACACTCTCGGTCCTCTTCTGACTGTATTTTGAGAGAAGGTGTCACTAAGTCATGTAGTTTGACTTGGAAATTACTTTGGAGTTCCGGCTACCTTGGTTCTTGTCATCCTCCTGCCTCAACATTCAGCATAGCTGCGTCGTAGTTGAATGACTTGAGGCGAGACAGCCAAGTGGCTAAGAATATAGACTTTAGAGTTCAGCTCCCAAGTTCTGGCCCTGCTAGTCTTGGGAAGGTTAGTTAAAGGGCCCCACCCTTTCTATCTATGTTCTCATCTGTAGAGTGAGGACAATACATAGTGCCGCTTTCCAGGGATTCAGCGGCAGGCTTCTGACTCATTGTAGGCACTTTTGGCTATTCTTGTTCATGCTTCAGGAACTCTGGGCCCCCCTTCTCCTGCAGTACAGCTCATGTCCAGCTGACCACACTTCTGGACACGTAATGGCAACACAGATTAAAGCCATGCAGCCTTCTCCTGGTCTGCTCCTTTCCCTGTCCTCCTCTCAGAACACGGTAACCACCTTTCAGGTACTGGGGTCTGTGGTAAGCCTGACATATCGGTAGTCAGGGCACGCCAAAGACACACTCCGTGAACCCATCTTCACGCTCCTCCTCTGCTGCCCTCTCACTCAGCAATCCCTGCCCCAGATGTCCTGAGGCCAGTCAGACCCATGAGTGATGCCAGTTAGACTCCAGGTCTTCAAGGGACTTCCCTTAGACACTCAGAAGCTGGAGATCAGCTGAGCCTTTGCCACTGTCTTAAGGGTCCCACCAGGAAGGACTTAGCTACCTCCTGCCTTCCCTGACTTGGTGCCCCTTCCCCCATGCCTAGGTCCTTTGTCTTCTACTCTTTCCTCCACAAAGCTCTAGCAGCCTTCCTTTTGTCCTGTTCCCCTCCCCACTCTACCCAACACCCATAGCATCTTGTAGTGACTTTTCTGTGTATTGCTTTTCCATGTCCTTCACAATGAATGTTGCAAAGCCCCCATGGATCAAGGCCTGTGCCTGTCTTGTCTCCTTCCAGCTGTACCTCCTGGGCCCAACACAGTGCTCGAGACACGGTAGGTCTTCAGTAAGAAGGCATCATCAGCCAGAGGCTTGGATTCTAGGCATTCTACAATGCTTTTACAAGCTCATAACTCTGCTATTACAAGATGCTAAACAGCCTCCTTCCAGGCAACCCAGGGCACCCACCCGCCAACAATGCCACCTTATAAGGAGCCTCAAGGGGAGCCAAGCCCAATATGGCTGTCTATCTAGCCCTGGAGCCAGCGGGCGGTGCTCAGGAGAGCTGGAGGGGCCTGCGGGGTAAGGGAGGTCCACTCTTCTATCGTCCTCAACAGCCCTCACCATGTCCTGCAAAGCATCCCTGGTGGTGACAGCCATCCTGGAAGGCATATAGTCTTCCGCTCTCTAGTGGGATGTGTGGGGCATTCAACCACCAGGACCTGTCCCGTAGGGGTCAGCTAATGCTTTCCGGTCCCCATCTCTTGAGCCCTAGGGCTGTTCAAGCAGGTCTAGACAGGACCAGCATTCCATCGGGGCCTGGGACAGCAGTGGAAACGTTAACCCCTTGGCAGCCACCCTATCAGAGAGGCAGAATTCTTCAGATACCCCGCCCTTCTGAGTACACACACACCCTCCCTCACCCATACACAAGGCCAGCACCCACACACCCACACACGCACGGTCCCCATTCCCACAGTAACCCTGGAACCCCTCACCCAGTGAGGCAAAGGCAACAGCCATACGCAATGCATTCCAAAAAGTTTCCTTTTCCCTGGGGCCTCCCAGTCCAGGGAGGGGTGGGGCGAACTCAGGGCAGCAGAGACCCTGCTGTTTCCAGTAAGGCCTCCGCAGTTCCCACCTGCTCTACTTCCCAGCTCAGACTGAAGAATAGATGTCCACAGCCCCGTCCTCCCCCTGCCTGGAACAGGGGGTTTGAGGGTGGGGAGAGGGCACATTCCAGGGAAGGCCCTGCGGCAAGCCACTGGCTGATGGCCAGCTCAGTCATCCCTGACCCTCATCCCGCCCAGGACAGCGGATGCTACAGAGGTTTCCTTCCTGGCGTCCCCTTCTTGGACTCTCCCGTGACAGTAAGCCCAGCTGGAAGGAGGCCAGCCCAAACCAGGAGGGGTGGTAAAAAACTCCTAGCTTAGGTGTGGCCCCCAGCCAGCCCACCATGGCTGGCCCCTCCTAGGCTTGTGACTAGAAATCCTATTATATGAGATGGTGTGGTCAGTTTGAAAGTTTCCATGTTACAGATGAGGACACTGAGGCCCGAAGAACAAAAAAGACTCCTCCTCGGGAAATGGGTGGCGGGGTTTGGCTCCAAGGCTGTTGGCACTCAAGGAAGCCCACACCAAGCTCCCGCACTCACCATCGATTACAGTTGTCCCAGTAGGTTCCGAAGACTGGGTAGATGCGGCCCGCATGCATGCATCCTACAGGCGGGAGAGGAGTAAAGATGAGATGACCAGATCCGCAAGGTCAGGTAGCCCCAAACCTCCTGAGTTCACTGCAATCACACACCAATCCCAACCAACAGGAGCTAAAGACAGACTATGGCTTAGGACATCTAGAGGTCCCCACACCAACTGCCACACGCAAGCTGTTCAGGGACTTCACTTTGGGTTCAGGTTGTTTCACCTGGATGCCAGCCATGACATTCCTGGTACCCTTTGTCACTCAAATGAGTTGGGACTTGCAAACGGGGCATGGAAGGAGCTTGAGGAAAGAAACTGAAGCCCAGGGAAGGTAAGCAACTCCCTTAACATGGCACAGCATCGGAGAGAGCAACCCAGGCCCGGGCTCTTCTTAGCCTAAAGCCCCTGTGGGAAGGACTTCCCGAGATTCTCCTACTGGAGCAGGCCAGTGCAGGGGAAGGGTACGCGCAGGAGGTACAGAATCGTATGTGAGGGTAAAATTGCGTGGGCTATGATAGCCTGGCCAGGCCCTGAGTGCTCTATCAGCCCCAGGGTGAGTCAGCAGGCGGGGCTTCCACCTTCCCCGTACTGACTGAGAGATAGGGCTAGAGCCTGCCTGCCCTGCCCCAAAGCCACCTTAAACCTAACAGAGCTATTTCTCAGTGTTGCCTGAGTGAGTCAAGTAAGACCCAAAGAGGGACTTCCAGAGGGGCAGGAAATAGGGTGAGGATTTCTTTCCTAGGCTTTTCAAAGCCTGGAAACGTCCATTATCAGCCTTGTTCCTGAGCGTCGCCGGGACTGGGCTTGACAAGGTGGCCACCATGCTGGCCGTCCTGATGCCCACCTTGAACGGGAGGGAAGGGGGGCGGCACCCCGAGGCAGAAGTCCCAGAAGTCAGGGCAGCAGTCAGAGATGGTGCGGTTGCAGAAGAGGTCACAGTAACAGGTGGCTCCCAGGTAGGGCAAGGCACAGTCGTCAGCGCGGCCACGGCAGCACAGGTCCTGCTCTTGGCAGTACCGGCCACCCGCGTCCCGGATGCCCCGCAGGTGAAGCCCTGGCGCCAGCTCCCTACGCCAGCGACTCTGCCGGGCTTCCAGGGCAGCCTGGCCAGCCAGCAGCAGCAACAGCAGCCCCAGCATGGTGCCTCCTGGGCCAGGAGGGGAGGACAGAAGTCAGGGGTCAGAGGTTTTGAATTCTGGAGACTCCCTTATACACATCAAGGGTGGGTCTCTCGTCACAAGTCCTGGAGCCTTCCCGGGAGGCTCAGCAAAGCGGAGGACCCCGATTCCTGAGTCCCCGGGGAAGAACACGGCAGTGTCCGCTCACGGGACAAGTAGGGCCCCCTCCCTGACCTGTCTAGGGACTGTCAAGGGCAAGGAAATGGAAACTTGACATTCTTCTCTCCTGCCCTTGGTCCTTTTCCCCTCTGACTTGGATTCATGGCTCTGTGTGTCTTTCTAATCCCCCTTCAGCCACCTCCCGGGGCGCTCTCCCTCCCCACTCTCTTCTGTTCCCTGTGTCCCTCTGACATTCTCCTCTGTGCCCTCTCTGCCCTGAGCCCTGCTCCTTCTGTGTGCCCCCTCCTGCTCTCTACACCCTCTGCCCTCTGAACAGGGAGAGTCCCTACCTGGTGAGGGGTGTGGGCTGGACCCAGGCTGCCCTGCGCGCCTCCGCCTCCAAGCTCGAGACTGCCAGACCAAGTCAAGCACGGAGCACAGGGCGGGACGCTTTTTGTACCGCCCCGCCGGCAACACCCGCCCCAACCACGGGCTGCGGGAGGGGAGGGCGGGCCCGCTTGTAGGTACCTGGAGCAGCCCTTAGCTCCCAACTGGGGTCTCTAGGGGGCAGCTTAAGGACAATGAGCAAATTCGATTGTCTTCCTTGGGGGGGTCTCATGTCAGCGGAAGCCTCTCCATAGGGAGCAGAACTGCAGCTCAGGGAGAAAGGATTGTGGACTGACACTAGGAAGGACTTTCCAAACGGTTTGACAAGGCCGAAAAACTTGTGCACAAGTGGAGGTAAGAGGCAACTAAGATCAGAGTTCAGGACTTGATAGGGACAGAGAGCTGGGGGCAAAAATCTCCAAGCCACCCCCCCCGCCCCAGGCCCTTCAGGAAGAAAAACAGCCATGCACGTCCTCGCCCCAGTGGGCTGGGGGGGGGGGGTTACTCCGAGCCACAGCTCCCAGGAATGACAGGAATTCCCAATGGATGATTCAGGAAGCAGCCTAGGTTCAGGAGGCTCAGGGCAGCTCCTCGCCAGGAGGTGGGTGCTGTGAGGAGTCCTGAGTGCACCCGGCCGCCCCTTGTGGGGTCTGCCCCCACCCCCAGTGCGGTGGGCAGCTTGCCAGCACCGCCCCCTCCGCCAGGCCCGAGGGCATCCTTCTTGGCAGAAGGCCCCGTGGAGGGCCCCACATCGAGGGCCCCCCCGACAGCTGGGGCCCCCTGCAGAGCCCCCTTCCGTTTCTGGTCTAACCTTTGCCTTGCCCTCACACAATGGGGCTTCTGTCCCTGGAGGCCTTCCGGCTGTCACTTCATGCCCCGCCATTGTGCAAGCTCCCTCTTCCAACAGGTTGGGCCCAGGGCCAGCCGACTCTCTGGGTAGAGGAAGGACACCACACCTGAACGGTTATCCCAGTCTGCTCAGGGGCAAGCAGGAGCACCAGGCTTCCCTTAGTCCTCTCTGTCCCCTGCCCTTAGCCGTCACCTCCGAGGAGGGTGAGAGAGCAGTACAAGGGGCACTTGTGGCCGAGCTACCCCCTGCTGTGGGGCGTTGGTGGTGAGTCACCCGGGGTCCCCCCCTGCCGGGTGACGAGGGTGCACAAGCACCCATCCGTTTGCACCATAAACCGAGGCTCAAGGAAACGGGCGTTAGGCTGCAGCTCCCTTGGTAGAGTGCTTGCTTGGCATGTCTACAGCCTTGGGTTCAAGTCCAGCACCATCTAAAAAGCGTGAGACTGGTGTGATGGCTCAGTGGGTAAAGGTTCTGGCCGGTAAGTCTGATGACCTGAGTTCGACCCCTGGAATCTAGATAGTGGAAAGAGAATAGATTCCACCAAGTTGTTGTTATACTTCTAATGCACGAACACACACACACACACAAATGTGCTGTGGCACGTGTCTGTATTCCCAGCACCCAAGAGGCAGAGGCAGAAGGATCAGAAGTTCAGGTGTGTAGCCTGTTCAAGGCCACCTTATGCTATGTGAACCCTGCTGGAGATGGGGGCTGGGCACAAGGGAGTGCAGAGTTACCCAAGGCTCCCTGGTGTGCACCTCTCTATCCCCAGGCACCCTTAGTCACCGTGACAGGTCTCAACACCCTGTCTTCCCAACCTTCCTGGCTGGGAAGCCCCCTTGCCTATTTAAATGTGATTCTTCATACGGCAGGGCACACTCCTCATTACTAGCCAACATCATGTCTGCTGGTAGGAGGCTGGCTTCGGCAGACCTGCTTTTATGGGTCGGCCTCACCGTTCTGAGGCCAGGGGCCACAACATTGGGTCTATCTTTGCCCAAGAGCACCCCGGCTGTGAGCTGCTCTGTGTGTGTGTGTGTGTGTGTGTGTGTGTTACTATGTCCTTGAGTGCCCAGTGGACCTTTTGGCTGTCTGCCAGTTCTTGGCCTGTCTGGATCTACTGATTTACCTGTCTACCTGCTATGTTCCTGTGTATCTGTATCCCCAGAACTCTGTGTGTGTCTCTGTGCCTGTCCATCTGCCTGTGTGCCCAGGGTCCATCCATCTAAGCTGCTGGTGTCTGAGTGTGGTGGGAAGCCTCTCCTACTTGTGAACACCTGTCTGCTAGATGCCTGTGGACTAGCTGGGTCTGCCTGGGGTTTGGCTGTTTGCCTGCCTGTGTCTGTCTGTGCACAGGAGACAGGAACTTGGAGCAGGGAGGAGAGCAGGGCCGGATCACCCCTCCACCCCTCACCCCTGTCATCACAGAATTTGGCTCTCAGCCCACTGTGGAATCTCATGACTCACTAGATTCCTTGGCCAAGAAGCAGAGGAAAAGGGCAGGGCCTGGGGGTGCCAGACACCCCACTTTCCTTTTCCACTGATCGTCCACCCTGGTGACTCACTTTCTAATTCTTGCTCAGAATGGGAGCTTGTCCTAGAGCCTGGGACAGAACAGCGGGCAGGGGACACCATCAAGGTTCCGGGGAGGCAGGAGGCCTGAGATTCTGTGGTGACTGCCCTTCCTTTGATGGGACCCAGCGCAGGCTGTCCCTCTCTGGGCCTTGGTTTCCCACCTGTTACCACAGCCTCTCAGGGACATCTTGAATGTTCTTTTTGCAGGGGAGGGGAGGCCACCTGTGTCTAAGGATCTGCAGCAGAGGCCTCTTTGGTTTTCTTGTGGAGACACAGAGCTCCTCCCAACTGCCCCCAGAGACCATTCTCAAGAGGCTGAGTGAGGCAGCCATGCTCTACCAGGTCTCTGGACTTGAGCAGCCCAAACGGCTTTCCAGCCAGGGCTAGTAGGTTTTGTGTGCCCCTTGGCTATCTGTGCAGGTCCAGGGCTTCAAGAGATGATACTGGAGATGGAGTTAAAGATCTCAGTAGGTTGGGGTGTGCTGAGGCGTGCTGGGCTTTCCCAGGGTGTGGCAATTGAACTCGAAAGCACTGCTGGACCTCAGCCGGTGGTATGCTTGCCTAGTAAGCACAGAGGCCCGGGCTTGACCTGCAGCGCTTCATAAACTGGTGGGGTTGCACATGCAAGCAACCTCAGGGTCGGGAAACAGAGGAGGGAAGTTTAGAAATGTAAGATTGCCCTGGGCTATATAAGTTTAGGGATAGCCTGGGCTACTTGAGACTGTGTCTCAAAAGAAAAAAAAAAAAGTTTTGATCAAGGCCTAGTAGTACACAGTGCATATAGGAGACAAAACACTGGCCATGAGGGCTCATGTTGGGCCATGCCATGTCACACTTGTTTTGGCGGTTAGTTTTTGTGTCAAGCTAGAGTCAGTGAAGAGAAGCCCCAGTTGAGAAAATGCCTGTATATGCAGATGGAGCCATCCCTGGACTGGTGGTCCTGGATTCTATCAGAAAACAGGCTGAGCAAGCCATGAGGAGCAAGCCAGAAAGCAGCACCCCTCCATGGCCTCTGCATCAGCTCCTGCCTCCAGGTTCCTGGCCTGTCTGAGTTTCTGTCCTGATTTCCTTCAGTGACAGTGATTTGGAAGTGTAAGTGGGAGAAGCCCTTTCCTCCACCAAGTTGCTATTTGGTCGTGGTGTTTCATCACACCAACAGAAACCGTAACTAAGAAAACTTGCGTTCGATTTTAATATTATTCATTCAACAAGTATTTGTTGCGTCCCAGTTACGCAGGCTCTGTGACAAATATGGAGCATGGAGAGTTGAGGTGTGCAGACCCAGGTCCTGATGTAAAGTCCTAAACAGGATGAGCAGGCCAACATAGAGATGGTCAACAAACAGACCAGAAGTCACAAACAACAGAGCCATGTGATGCTCTGCACAAAGCCCGAGGACCTGGAGCCACGCAGGTCATGGTGACCTCAGAGGCCTGGTAGTGTCTGGGCCGATGTCTGCAGGAGTAGACTCTTGACACAGACCTCGGGCTATAACAGGTATTCCGAGACACCAGATGCTCTGAAACCAAAGCCCTGAGGCTGGCCATAAGAGAGCGTGCTGCAGCTGGAGGCCCACTGCAGGTGAGGACAGATGCGCCTGTCTGTAGAAAGGAGCTGGGCTTTTCTTCTGCCACTGAAGAAGGTTCAATCTGACTGAAGCCCAGGGTGATGGCACACACCTGGAATCCCAGCACTTGGGAGATAAAGGTAGAAGGAAAAAGTTTGAGGCCAGCCTGGGAGAACCCATTAATTGGTTAACTAATTAATCAATTAATGGCTTATACATGCAAAGGTCATCTCTGCTGCTAGGTAGAGAACAGACTGTCATGGGCCAAGGAGAGGTTCTGTTTGCTTGGTTTTTTTTGTTTGTTCTTGGTTTTTTGTTTTTGTTTTTGTTTTTGTTTTTTTGAGACAGAGTTTCTCCGTGTAGTCCTGGCCATCCTGGAACTCTCTCTGTAGACCAGGCTGGCCTTGAACTCAGAGATTCTCCTGCCTCTGCCTCCCAAATTCTGAGACAAAAAGCATGCAGCGCTGTCACTACAGATGCTGCTGCCGCCCCCCACCCCACACCCCAACCAGGCTGAAAATGGATCCTTAGAAGGCGGTGGGGAAACCAATGAGCCAATGGTTGTGGTGATCAGAAATGAGCCTGTTGAGGCATATTGTGAAGGTGAAATTAACCAGACTTGCTGCAGAGCAGGATGCCAGGAGCTAGAGAGAATAGGCACCAAGCAGGGCTGCTGGGCTGACTGCCTGGCTGCCAAACCCCTGCTCTGCCCTCCTGCCCACGGAGGGGCGGAGCCCAGTTGAATCTGAGTGGGCTCAGGAGAGTCTCCAGGGAGGGAGCCAGGGTGACCTGTGTGGGCTCGCTAGGAAGGGAGAAAGCAACCTCGGGCCTTGGATTCTCCACATAGGGGCTGGCGGAGAAGCCAGGTGCAGGCTAGGCTCCTGAGCTGTCCCAGCTGTCTGTGAGGCTGAGACAGGAGGAAGGAAGATTTGAGCTCAGAGTTCAAGCAGATTCAACACAGCGTGATATGGTCTCTAAATCCCTGCCTGGGAGGAGGGAGTGGCCAGTGAGGTAGAGGAAAGCCAGGTGTGTCCAGAAAACAA